GCTCTTCTGCGTCTATTTGTTGTGAAACCCACCCTTCGCAGTTCAGACACTTCTTCAGCTTGCTGGTCAGAACTTTTAATGGCTGCCCCATCAATATATTCTACTTGTATCGTAGCATGACGGGTTGTTGGCATTTGTGAAAATAGATCATCAATAAGTGTTATGTCAGTTTGGACACCGTTGTCTTTTTTCTCTGGACATTCTCTACTTTCTTCCACTTTCTGATGCAAGGCTTGTTGCTTTAGTTCTCTCTCAACTCTCTCACGATTGCTACGTTCTATGTAGACAGGCAGAATCCGCCTACTTCTTCTCTTTCGAAATAATTCATCTATGGTCAAATACTTCTCGCCGTGTGGAAAGAACCATTTAGTTTGGATGCAAAATATTGTAAAATATATCATTGGTATAGAAATCAGGAAGAAAGGAAGTGCAAGAGAATGTTTTAGATCAAGAACAACGGTGAGAATGTGAGGTGTGACCTGGAATTAAAGAATGAAGTATTTTGTACATATGTTTTACTATTTGGATATGCAGGTAGCTAATATTTTACAGATAACACTATTTTTTTAAAAAAAATATTTATCACTTTGTTATGTGTTATTTAATATCTAAAGATGAAGATTTTCAGATTGTGAATAAGAGAATCAGATAAGGAATAATAAAAGGAAAGATAGAGAATGTTTCAAAAGCCCTATGAGATAAAACTTTTCTTGAACACTTATTTTACTTTTAAATTTGTCGTATACTTAGCATTTAGCACTTTGTTACTTGTTAGTCAGTACCTAAAGATGAAGATTTTCGGATTATGAATCAGAGATGTTTTATTATGATTATGAATGAGAGAATCAGATAATGAATAATAAAAAGAAAGGTAGAGAATGTTTCAAAAGCCTTATGAGATAAAACTTTCTTGAACTCTGACACTTATTTTACTTTTAAATTTGACGTATACTTAGCATTTATCACTTTGTTATTTGTTAATCAATACCCAAAGAGGAAGATTTTCAGATAATGAATGACGGATGTTTCATTATGATTATGAATGAGAGAATCAGATAATGAATAATAAGAAGAAGGACAGAGAATGTTTCAAAAGCTTATGAGATGAAACTTTTCTTAAACTCTGACACTTATTTTACTTTTAAATCTGACATACGCTTAGCATTTATCACTTTGTTATTTGTTAATTAATACCTAAAGAGGAAGATTTTCAGATTATGAATGAGTGATGTATAATGATTATGAATGAGAGAATTAGATAATGAATAATAGAATGAGAGACAGAGAATGTTTCAAAAGCCTTATGAGATAAAACTTTCTTGAACTCCGACATTTATTTTACTTTTATATTTGTCGCTGTACTGACGCGTCATCAAAAGCAGGGAATTAAAATTTAAAATGAAATACTGTTTATAATTATGGAATTCATTAATATTTATTAACGACAATTCCGAATCTTAAAATTGACTTGTCATAATTATACATGGAATAACACAATGCGTCACACTTTGTTTAATGTAGATTATGGGCTGGTAGCATCATTAGTCGTTGGAAAATTGGATACCTGCAATCGACGCCACTCACCAGTAAATCGTAGCTTTTGTTTATGCAACGATTCAGCAACCAATCAAGTTTGACAAGAGCGAGTGGTTTTAAAAATTAAAATCTAGTTCCTGAAACGAACAAACCAACAATCCCTTCAAACCTCACCCGCATGAAATGGTAACATTTCCCTTTACAACCTCAAACATGAACGATTCAAACGGTATTAAATCATCGTTTTAATTAAATAGAAAGGTAAAACGATAGTTTTATTTTAAGTTGCAGCTTAGAACTAGATAGATTAAAAGACTACCATAGGTCGTTCCAATAAATTAATTAATCATTAAATAATTAGTAATAAATATAATTTATATTCCCCTATTCATTTAGTTTTTCAAAACCGAATTTAAAGCTAATTATCTTATTGGAAAGTTCAGTTTTAAATATAGTTGAAATTTATATCTTATCTCGATTTTGATTCGTGTAAGTTAAAAGAATCTTATCTGCTCTTATTGAATTATCTACAATAATAAAATGAAGATTTTTTTTTCTCAATGTATGTCTCTCTAATAAGTAACCTTTGGATTCCTGAAAATCGGACAGTGGGTTAAAAAGGTAACTTTAGTCTCCGATCTTAAAAATCATGAAAAAATTTCTATTAGATAGTTCAGGAGAGACATGTAACAAATGGAATTTTCTAATTGATTTAGAGTGAGCACCATAGATATAAATGAAACTGCAGACGATTTCAAAGATAGCGTCAGTGATGTTTGCTGGCTTATAGTAGATTTTATTAATCAAGAAAGGATTTTATTGCATGCTCTTAGATATTTAAATAGTTTTTATTTGTTATGTCTGAAAAGGTACTACGTGCTTATATTTTTAAAATAATGACTTTCAAAAATATTTCTGTGATAAATAATTAAGAAACAACGGTATTTAAAATAAAAATAATATATTGCGTATTGAAAAACAAAATTATGATGAGGTAGTACTAAATCGTTTAGAACAAAGATAAAAACTCGCTATACAAAAACTCGCTTTAACGCTCTTGACGCCAATGATACTTAATTAATTTTGAGAATAGGTACTATAACTGAATTTAAAAAAAAAAAGCTATGAAGTCAATAGCAACATTAATTGCGAAATGGTACCAATTTGTCAAGGAAAAAAGTAAAAAATTGCCATATTATTATTGAAGCCTATACCTAGTTAATTTTGGTAATAGGTACTAATTAAAATAAATTTTTAAGCTATGAACTAAAGAAACGTAATAAATGGGGAGGAAGTTCTTATTCGTTTAGGTTAAACTTAGGTAAAAATTGCCTTGCTATAATAGACGCCAATGATGCTTAATTAATTTTGTTAAAAAGTACTACTTGAAATACAACTTAAACAGTACTGATTAGCAAAATTAATGGAGAAATAGTACTAACTCGCTCACGAGGAAATTATTCTCGAGGATTTCCCATGCTATTATTGACGTCAATGGTGTTTATTTAATTTTGGTAATAGGTAATTTTTGTATTACGGTAATTAGCGCAAATTTAATCAATGCCAAATGTTCTATTGTTGGTAAAACTTGTATATTTGTTATCGATTAAAATTGCTGTCCTACTATGCAAAAAAACTGAATGCGGATTTTTTTTTTGATTTTTGAAAAGATACTGAGCACGGAATTATTTTGAATTTTGATGGAATGAACTACTAAAAACATGTTTTGCTTAATCTAATAATGTTAAGCACATTCGTCAAGGACGAAAAATAATAAGTAAATAAAGGGAATTATTTTTGCTTAGTTAATTGTATTGGTATATGTCTTTCAGTTTTGTCCTTGATTTCTAAGTGCTGTTCCGTGCTAATTTATTGATAGTGTAATTTTTTTCATGCCGTACGGAGAACAGGTATTTAGCTAGTATCTTGCAAACTGGCTTGATTTCGACAAAACGATTTTAAATCTCGATTAACTGTAAATTTTACATATTTAACACTAGAAAGACTAAAATACCTGGTCAAAATAAATATATTTTAAAACTATATACACCAACCGATATAACTACCGATAACCGATACACCAACCGATATAATATAATATTGCCCAAAAGCAGTCAAAATAACTGTTATTCTATGAAAGAATAACTAATGTATAAAAAAAAATTAAATTATTTTAAAATATTTTTGATATTATTGTCAGTTATATAACAAGTTATTAGTAAACATCAACAATAAAAATAATTATAAAAATGAAAAAATTCCAAGAAATTGTGTCATCATAGTTTTTCGAATTGAAATTAAAAAGCGGTCAAAATGTCTTCCTTGGGCAATCTAGTATTCAAAATGAATAAACCTATTGTGAAATTCTTAACATCTTTCATTAAAAAACGTATCGTTAGACTAATAGACACAGATAGTATTAGTGCACATTATTTGACTCATATTTCAGATTGAAAACTATATTTCAAAATTATTTCTAGTAGCATAGTTCCTTAGAAGAAGTTATTGCAATAAATTATTGAGCAAAACAATAATAAATGTCCCATTTCAACATCAAGAATATTTTTCTATCTTTCAATTTATTCCCAATTTCAATTAAAAAGTTTTTTATACATACTTCAATGATAAAAATAACAGCATTTTATGGCAACAATTTAAGAGTATAGTTATCTAGTAGTGTGAATGTGACTTAAAAATAATGCGTTTAATGTCCGTTAATTGTTGCAACCGTAAATGTTTGCAAAAATTTAAGCAAGTCATAACTGTTATCTGCTTAAAATCTTGGAATAGCTCCCTTACTAGATTAAAAAAATTGCTTGGATGAATATAAAATATTTATAGGAGACCGTCAAAAGTGACGTCAGAAAGTTTTGACGGTATTTTACTGTCTACTATTTATATTTAGTATTCTATTTATAAAATGGTTTTGATCATTTAACTAGGTTGATTGTGACATTTTTACAGAAAACATATTCATGTGAAAAATTTTAAAATTGAAAGTTTTTTTTAAAGAATTCTATTTCAATTTGATTAGTAATAAAACAAAGTGACCATTTTTGTTTTTTCTAAAAATTTGCTTAGGAGTTTCGCCTAAAATGATTCAAATTTGAATTTTTTACGAATTTCTTTTTTCATATGCACATGTAATTCGCATGTAAGAAAAATTATCAAGTATTAAATATTAGCCACGAAGCACTATCAGCAAAATTTAAAAGTTTAGAAATGAAATTTTATTTAAAGCATTATAAAATGTTAAAGACAGTAAAATATAGTCAGAAATTACATAAAATAAATAAAAATGTTTAAGAATTATTTTATCGCAACATATTTTTCTATGAGGTTCTTATCAAGCTAGTTTCCAAATCTATGTTTCTTTAAAAAAAAAAGCATCATACTGTAAAGAAATAATATTTTATTAAAAAATTAAAAATCAATAGCATTACACTGAGTCAAATATAAATGAAATCAAAGTTTTAAATATAATTTTGCTTAAATTTTCAGCAAAAAGCACTCGTTTCATGAAACAATTTAAAGTATATTTTAAAAAGTTGGGTATGAACCTATTTGGGATATTATTATAATACTCAACATCTTGGAGATTATCAACTTTTTTTCGAATTTTTTCAGGAGTTTGCCAATTTTCAATTTGAAAGTTTTTTCTAATCAATGATAAATGCCATTTACTCTCTATTAAAAAAAAACGCTCTAAACAATCACAAGAAAATCCCCATGTTTATTGTAGTTTTTAAGTTGATGTCTTTGAACAAAGCTTGGAGTTGATATTAAATGTTGTGATATAGCTCCTCAGTGCATACTATTTAACCAATACCAACTACTTTGTCGGCGTGGTTCGGACGAACTTCCTTTCCCATCATCATCTTTTTTACCAGCTGGTTTTTCTTTCGATTTATCATCTTCTTCCTCAGATTTCTTGCCGAAAATACCACCAAACAAATGCTTTTTTTGCTCTGGTTTTTCTTTCTCCTCTTTTTCATCATCTTTGTCCGCCTCTTTCTCAGTCTTGCCGAAAATACCTCCTAAAATCGATACCGGTTTTGATTCTTTTTTCTCTTCTTCAAGCTCTTCCTCGAGTCTCACCTGTTTTGCTCTTTTAAGAGCTTCTTTTGCCACTTGGAGCGAAGCCCTGGTTTCCTCTCTGGTCAAGTACTGAACTTGAATTCCGCTGTCCCTAGTCTTAGGTCTCCAAAAAAATTCTTCAGTCTGAGCCGGACTTTCCCGTTTAGTAACCATCACTGGTCTTTCCAAGTCTATTCCTGATTGTTTCATGGCAGTTGCAATTAGTTGCGGGTCACTTCCTTTCGTCCAAGATTCCAGAAATATTGGAAACCACCTATGTTTCCTTATCTTCTTGGGAAGTTTTGAAATAGAGACGAACTTTTCACCGTGAGGGAAGAACCAAAAGCATTGAAGTGCAAAAACGATAAGGTAAATTACAGGCATGTAGAGGACAAAATAGGAGAGGCTGTTAGTGCTTTTTGTCAATGCATATGCCAGAATAGGAGGAATGATCTAAAAGTGAAGCAAATAATGTTTTTTTATTATAAATATTTTGTTGTTTTTTTAATTTAAAGAGGGCATATTTTTTACTCGTATACATTGAAACTAACCTGAACTGAATATACTGCAACGAAACTAACTGAAAAAATAATCGTGATACATTGAAACTAACTTTTTAAAAACTAACTCTTAAAAACTAAGTTTTCTAAAATATTAAGTTTTATTATAAATGAAAATAATAGGACACAGAACCTTATAGCAAAAATGCTTTGATAAAATTTAATCTCATTTTAAATATGATGCATCTTTGTAGAGCAGAGTGTAGTATCTTGTGTAATTTGTCAAACTTTAATTTCTGTCTTTGACAATTATTGTCACATTTACAATCTAAAGGCAACCTTTAAATACACATACGTTGCTTTTAATTATGTAAATATTTTTACCAAAATAAATAAATTTGAAATAGAATTTTATCGGTCACTTAAAGTAGGAATCGTAAATTGTCCCCGGGTACCAGAAAACTGTTCCAATTAACAACATCTGTTGTAAATTGGAACAGTTTTATTTTAATCGATTTTAGTCACCCAACATGTATTCATTTTTAAGGCACTTAAAGAGAAAAATGCATAGTGCATGTATTTAGGACAAAGAATAAAAGTTCCTTGTTTAAACCTAAACTATAAAGTTGTCGATGTGAGAAATGGTATAAAAATTAACTTGTATAGTACATAACTTTTAATCTATTCATTGCAACAAAAATAATGGATATTAATACAACATTTGATGGAAGTCATGTTCCCTTTTTGATAATGCAGATATTAATTTTTGAAGTTGGTTGAAGGAGATCAAAAACTAAAAGTAGCAAATCTGAAACTTTATGAGACTTTAGATGAATTAAGGAATATAATTTTGATAAACAATTAAAAAAAATACTAATTGAACTAACAAACACAGAAAGTTTTATTTAGCAGGAAAAGGTTACTTCCTCCAAATACGTATTTAGTAAAGTTTCAAATATATTATAGCATTTCAAACTAAAATATACGATGAAAATATAATATTTTCTGCATTTAAAAGCTTGAAACAGAGCTGAACATAATTCTTGTAGCAAGAGTTATGGAATTTATTGAAACTTATGCATATGTTGTACCTCAGAAAATAACCTAAAGTGCACAACATTCTTCACTATCCCAAGAGGNCGCTCATTTTTTAATAATAGGAATTCACATCTTTTCCGCACTACCGCAGAAAGATCTAAGAAATTTCGATTTTTTTCGATACGCCCTACTGAACATAATTCTTGTAGCAAGAGTTATGGAATTTATTGAAACTTATGCATGTGTTGTACCTCAGAAAATAACCTAAAGTGCACAACATTCTTCACTATCCCAAGAGGGAATTTTTACATAATTTAAATAAATCATAATTTTGGTAATTTAAGTTTGTCTGGGATATATTACGGGTTTAATAGTTGAATAGGTAACTGTCAGAAATAAACTTAAACTTGCAAATCAAACTGAGCGATTCGAAGTAAAAAACAATCAATTAATGTTAACTTCATCTATTTAGTTTGTTTGTGTAGAAACACAAAATTTAGCAGTCGAATTTTTTTTTTAAGTGTGCGGTATGGAACGAGAATTTTATTCGATAATTTGTCACTAAGGACATAAAGCTATTCAAAAGTAGTCCACACTTTTTAAGAGCTTTAAAAATAACATGAATATACATACTTTTAAAATTTCATTATTATTTGTTACTTATTATTATTTGAAAACAATATGCTTTAATTTTGCATATTGCAGAATTACGATGTACTTCTAGAAATCAAAGTTGTCCCTTTTTCTTGTTATTTTATAAGGCTGGCAAAAAAAATTGATTGCCTATTGACATCAACTGACAAAATGGTGTTTGGTTCCAGCGAACAGTGTCTAAGGACAAACGGCTTTAAACAAATGGTATAAAGATGTTCTTGAAAATTCAGAATTGGCCATCAATATAGGATTTTCCAAGACCAAGGCAGGCAACCGCCTCTGTCCCCAAAAAATCCCTTGTTGCCGTTGATGAAAACATTAGAAGAGTTATGACACGTAACATCTATGCTGCACTCGATCTGAGTAAGGAAACAGTACATTACCCTCTGTGTCACGCATTGCGTTATCAGGACTGATGTTCATTTTAAATGCTGTTACGCGAACTGGTTACCCAGTTTGTGCACTTCTCTTACCTTTTTTTTTAACTAGCACCAGGATGGTGAACGATGCTATTTTTCTAAAGCTATCAAGCGTGTACTCTTTTCATTTATGGTACCCTAATACTTTAAAGTTCAGATTTGGCCTATGGTCTAACTACAAAACTACATTCAAACTACAGTGAAACCTCTCGGAGGCGACCACTCTCTGTTCAACAGTAAAATGGCCGTTAGTAGAGGTAACTCGTTCATAGGAGTTACTTCCATTCCCTTTTTATGGAAGGTACATGAATTGCTGCAAACGATTTTAATTTATAAGTGTCATTTTCTTGATACAAAAATGCCAAATACGTTTGCGTCGTAAAACCGGATCAATGAATAAAACTTATCGTCAATAAAAATGACCCCTACCGATATAATTATGTGTAAAAACAAATTTTCAAATTATGTACGATCGAACTATTTTAAATAAATAAACAATTATGTATTTTGTTTTAGTTTGCCTTTAATTTCATATTATAAAAATTAGTTTACTTCAAAAAATAAGAGTTTTTTTTATGCTTCATTTTTTTTAATAACTTTTTTTTCTAATTTAATTTCCAACTCTAAAAATTAATTATTGATATCATTGTCTTTAGTACACTCTGACTACAACATAAGGTTGTCGATCTCTTTCAGAGGTTGTCAAAAAGAGCTCTTTAAATAAGAGCAACTCACAAATAATTTTAATACATTTGAATCCACCTATTTGTTTTGATAATATTTTTTGTTTTGATATTTTTTCGTGTTTCCTTGTTTGACATTTTCCGCATTTGGCTCGGAGGTTGGAACGGTCGCTGGTAGAGGTTTTGATAAAGGTTTTATTTAACACAAAGTCTATGGAAAATGGAGTCTATGCATATGAAATCCACTCCTCCCAAAAAAATTGTTGGTCGTAAATAAAGGAGGTCAACACACATAGGTGATCTTCACTGGAGGTTTCACTGTATAAAACTTCAATAGGATATTTTTATAACAGAATTTCAATTAAATTTATTACCATTTCAGCTAAACAATGGGCCATCAATAGGGCAGATATGATCTTATATGTGGTCACTATATATCGATCCATCCAGAGTATCGACCAACCAAGTAAGGCTGCTGCTCCAAGACCAAGTAATACATTTCCCACTATCAACATATCATTGTTCGATTTAGATAGCGTTATCAATACTACACCAGATATGATCTCCAAGATAAGACAAGCAATTATCATGAAGAAAGGATGAAATCTATGAAGATTAGGAAGAAAGTTAATTTGTTTCTGTATGCGTGTTTTAAATGTAAACAGCTGAAACTTAAATTTATACTTTGAACGAAGTCCCTTGTTGAATGTAGTCACGTATTATTATGTGAATAAATGAAACTTAAAAAATTTAAATTATTCTAAAATGAAATACATCTGAAACAATATTACTTATTTTGGCAACCTTTCGTTTTATCTTGAAGCAGGGGTCTGTTTAGGAGAAATTTGGATCCGTTAACGGACGCTTCACGAAATATTTTAACCCAAAAACGGACCCTTCACAAAATAATTTATCTTTTAATCGGACCCTTCACAAATTTGTTTATCTTCATTACTGTTTTGTTAATCGAATAAACCCTTCCCAGGAAGGGGGGGAAGACAGATATAAACGAACTAAGTTTGGTCTTCGGCAGACGCTTCTTCCTTTATTCGTCCGAAATGAATATTATGCTGTCAGCAGTATAGGCTAAATACCAAATATTTGTATGTTGCATGTCTAATTTAGTAGCAGCAATTGCTGTTCATTTTTTAAAATTTAAATTTTACAGTGTGAGCGTAATCTTGTATGTCTTTACAATTTAAAAACTCCTTGAAAAAGATTTTTGCAATGACAGGACCCTATTTGCACAAATTCACAAAAGCAGGACCCTGATTGAAAGAATGCGCCGTAACGTTTATTTTATATTCACAAATTACGAGCATTTTTTTCTAGAATTTTACGAAAACGGACCTTTCACAAAATGTCTGGACAGACCCCTTTGAAGTATTTTATCTACTACGGTAAAGCATTCAACTCATCTCTGTTTCTGTGGGCATCCTAACTGGTTTTGATAATTTCAATCTTTCCACTCTCGTGTCAACTTGTTTTGTTTTTATAAAAAATTTTTCATTAAATACTAATTTGAGATCTGAGGTTTAAAAACTTTCTTTACGTCAGTTTTGACAAGGAAATTACGAGACACAAGATTGCTATACTTTGTAAACTTACTGCATCTGTTTGATGCCAAGTTGAACTATCATATCATGTAACCAGGAAAAAGTACTAATGTAACAAATGGAGTCTCGGTGACTCAGGGAATAGAGCGTTTATCTCCCAATGAAGTGACCCAGGTGTGAATCTCTGCATTGGCTGGTCGATACAAATTCTGCTCTTGGCTCAAACCAACCTCAGTTCTGACATAAATTATCCTCAGTGATCATGGGTTAAAATTTCTTTGCCGTCGCCTAAACGGGGAGGTTTTCTGTTTTTATCCTCTCTATACTCAGTTTTATGATGTATCAGATAATTTAGATATTACTTTAACTCTTCCATATCCTTAGAATTATGTTCAAAAATTGCATTAACAACTTGTAAAACCTTAACTTATGGCGGAAAGGCTTAGCGCCAGGTCTGAGCGATTCTACATTTCTGCATGGATCTCCATGTGAAAATAGCTTCCTAATTTATCCGCTACAGCATTCTCTATTCTATACAGGGCATTTTTAGAATTCATAAATTGTGCGATTTGGGAGAGGAATCATTTAGACAGACCTCTTTTATAGCAATACAGTTTTGTCTAATAATTTTTTTTTTCACTTGACAAATAAAAATTGTTAAGAATTGCCACGAGGCGGCGCTCATATCATATGACACATTATTATGCAGTTGCCATTCAACTCTAGAACAGAGAACATCTCCTTGTCACTCAATGTGATCTTGTCAATTTTATGTTATTAAGTTTCAAAATAAATGTTTATGTTTGTTACAGTCCGCTACTTTATAGCTCAATATATCACGAACACTAAACAAAAATAATTAAATGCTTTATTTTTTAGTCAAATTTTAAATGTGAAATAAACTCATTGCAATTAGAAAATATTAATGTGTTATCCCGATAATTTCCACTAGATTAAAAATTCAAATTTCTCACATTCTTATAAGAAATTTTCAAGAAAGCTAAAGCAAAATCATAAGACTTAAAAGTAAGATAGGACGTAAAAGTTAGATAGCTATAGTTTCCTTACATAATATGATTTTCAATAAAACCATTTTTCTTAACTAAGCTAGTAAAATTTTAAATTTGGGCAGTATAAACAAATGTATGGCAATCGAAAAGTGAAAGGTGTATCGTTTTAGATTTCTCGTTCTTGCCTCAACCTCGCCCTAGAGTAGGTTTGTAAAGTGACAACTACTTACATTCTTGAGGCAAATACAGCGAAAAAACCTCCAACAGCAAAGAATCCCCAAAAGAATGAAGCGAGATCAAGAGAAGTTTTTGTGCTAATATTATATTCCTCAATAGCGAATGTAGTAAACATGTGTACGTAACCAAGGCTTATAGTTCCACAAAGAAATGCTAAGAGTGAAGATGTTAACACAGCAAACATTGTAAATTCTTTTGATGGAACCTAAAAATAAACAAATGAAGAGAAAACTTTATTTGTCTGTAGGAAAAATGAGAAAGACATTAAAAAAGAAACGAAAGCGCTTAACGAGTTTAGTTTAACGACAAAATTAAGAAAACTTATTTAAAATAACATAAGTCACTAGAGCACTATAATTAATTCATTTTATTTATTTTTTAAAAAAATTAACAAATACAATAAATATAATAATATAAAAACATAGTAATATAATAAATATAATGATAAAATTAATATAATAAATAAAATAAAGTTTGGAAGCATTAACATTCTGACTAGCGTAGTTTTAAAAGTTAGCTAAAGGAAACCACAACATCAATTTGTCTATATGTTTTGGATATGGGACGAATTTTTTCGAACAATAATTATAAAAAGAATAGCAATTTTTTTAAAAATGTGACAAAATAAAAATTTCGCTCTAACAGATGCAATGGGTTGAAACTTTTATCTCAAATCGTAGATTAGTAAAATATTTTTGTTTATTTCATGCGTAGAAAATATTAAAATTGTATGGCTTCCTCATACGCTTTATTTTATTTTAAAATGGAGTAATTTTATTGTTTTAAAAATAAAACCGATTTTCGGAAAAAGATTTCGTAGGGAGTTGAATAACTGCAAGTGACGTAGTGTGGATATCTTAATCATGATTGGTTGTTAAAACGTGGCATTTGCTTACGTTATCAACTGTTCTTTCCTTTCTTTTTTACTGTAAGCCAAGCCCGTCAAGTATCATTTCTCTTAAATGACACATTCTATATTCTTACACAAAGATTCTTTCACAAAAATTTTAATTCTTGAAAGGCATGAAGCCATGTAGAACATAAACAAGCTAATTATGCATTGAAGTTGCCAGGTACACAAAACAAAAATATATCATAGTTACAATAAAATACATAAGCATATAATAAATCTAAGTTAAGTAAAAGAAGTAGACAACAGGGAATTATATTTCAACGAGTTTGATGTGCAATACGGCACTGTATTTAATTAACTTCACATTAATTAGCAATCTAACTTATGTGAAGCTCAACTTTAACACTCCATTTTGCTTATAACTATCAGCTGGTGCTGAAATCATGAGTCACATGCTTGGGTATCCATGATATTCTTCCCGAATTACCCAATGATTCCCGAATCAGGATGTGCAAGTACCCAATTATTGAAATAATGATAATATACTCTTGAAACTGATTTCTGCTATATGATTTTAAATTATTAATTATGTGGGAAACAAGAAAACTTTAAAATTTTTTGAGTAAGAAATAATTTTTTGATGAATAATTAAAAAAATTGTGTTTCTGAAAATGAAATGTTATGTCTAGCCTTCAACTATGCACCAGGAAATAAAAACTTTTGGTAACTCGATATTAAGCTATAACTTGCTAAAAATAATTGCGTAATAATTATTCATAAATGTAAATGATGTTTAATAATGAATAAATAAATTTACGAGTCATTGAATATTAAACATACCATAGGAACATGAATCAAATCAAAGAAGCATTTAAATAAATATAAGCCCAATGATAATAACTTACAAGCTATTAACATGCTTATATCTTGCAGACAAGGTTGATCCTGTCTAAAAAATTTTAACACTTTTTTTTTTTAATTGAAGTCATAAAAAAATTTTTGAGATGCCAAGAAGATAAAAAAAAAACTTGATATTCCCAATTGAGTTGCATTAATCTCGTCAAGCTTTTTTAATATTTATTTTCTTGCCACCAAAAAAAAATACTAATAAAAAATTATGTGAATGTTGAAATTTGCCACTTGTTCAGTACAAGAATAAAACAGCGTTGGGCAAAAATTGTTCATTTTACGAATGGTAACTGTGTTATAATCATTCAGAAATGTTGATATTGCTTGTATGTTTATTTTTAAGAGAAATGATTACACATGATATGAGTCTATAACAACTGGTAATAACTAAAAAACAATACAGGGCTTGCAAAAAAAGAAGTCTTACGCTTTGTGTTTACCCTGACATTGTCAATTATTTACTCCCTCAGCATTGTACTAGGAATTATAACTTGTGATTATTTTGTTTTATTATTTTGTTTTATTATTATTCTATTATATTCTATGATTATTTTGTGTTAAAATTAGCATAAATGTAGATTGAAAATCATTAATATTACTTTTATGTCAGCTTCTAATTGAAATGGTTTCAAAGGCATCTGATTACACGGGCAAAAAAGTGATATCAACCAAAATAGTGCAATACAACATATGATGAGACAAAGAACTATGTAACTGTACATCAGATGAGGAAATATAGGTTTTCCTATATCTTCTGGTTTTAAATAGAGTGTTATGTTTGCTGTAGCATTCGCCGCGCTTATGTCTTGAACAAACGCACGCTGCAATACTATTCCCAACAGACCTCCAATTCCATTTAAGAAGTGGAGTGCCATGAAGTAGGGATTGCTTTTCCTTCCCCACATATGCAGAACAAAGGTATTAAAACCTGCAATTATAAAACAACAATTAAAACTTTCTCTGAAAAAAAAAAACACATTTTAAAGTATGCAGCATAAAACAAGTAAAATTATTTCACTTTTGAATTATTGTAGTCGTGTTATCTGCTTTCTTTAATTTTACTTATAATTGCACCATGAAAAATAGATCTGTAGTTATACTGTGGAAAGTTATGGAAGAAAAAATGGTTTTTTTTTTCTATGAAAACTAACAAGGCAAATGAAAACAAAACTTGCCAAAATATCATCCGATATAAGATCAAATTATGGGGGGGGGAGTATGGACGCAATTGTACCATAAATAGGGAAACTGGTTACTCGTCCAGCACCATGCTATACTTTTTTTTTGTTTTTTGCTGTATAAGGTATGCAGACTACATAGAGCCTGGCATACAGGCCACCTTTCATTAAGCCATTCCTGTTTATACAGGTTGTGAGACTGTTGTGTAGCTGCCACGAACCTACCCGTTTTTGTTAGATTTCTCAAATAACAGTCTTGATCCGGTGTTGACTCCCTTTTGTGATTTTGATCATGTCGGTGGACCAATGTTGCTGCCTCTGAACTATTTCCAGAGAGTGGACACCCCCCCATTATTTTTCAAAACCCCAAGATACCTACAACGGGCAGCCAGTGATAGGCCCGATTTGAGTCTTTTAACTTTCTGCTATCCTCTGACTTCGTCTAGACGATTGGCCAAACTAAAACGGTGGGTAAACAAAGATATTTAAAAAACAAATTCATTTAAATTCAATACATTTTGTCAAGTTAAATTACATAGACTTTCAGTAAAGTCAATATGTTTCAGCAAATAAAATAAGATTTTTGTTTTTTTTAAATTTCCGAAGCGCATTTATGAATCTATTACATAAAATTTGTTTTACTTTATATTATTTGTTTGTAAACCCGATATATATACTATATCCTATAATAAATTCCTAACCGAATTAAACCAAATCTATTATTAGTATATTTCAGTCACAATTAGCTTTACTTTTCAAAATTCTAAAGGAAAATCTGTTCCATAAGAAAAATTGTTCCTATCATTGAAATAACGCTGGGTTTTTTTTAATGTAAAATACCGTAAATAACCAAGAACTGATTAGAAAGTCAAAACTGAAAGTCAACCCTAATAAAAGCAAACGGAAGTTTTATTTTTAAACTTATTTTAGTTTCTTCGCACAAGTTTACATCAGTTTGATATTTCTTTTCAACGATAAAGAGAATTCTTAATTTTCTCTTCATTAAAATTTTAAAATACAGGAAGAAAAAAATCATACTATTTAATTACCTGATTTACTTTAGGAATAAATTATTTATGCAAACGAATTTTTCATTCAATCAATTGATAGTTTAAATACCATTTCGCCTTTTCTAAATCTTTGAATTTGTGTAATTTTGGTTTCATTGTCGCTGTTTTCCTTATCGAAACAAATTTTACACTGTTTTGCTAGGAGCTTTTCCTACCAAATTAAACTTATGAAATAATTTTTTGTGTATTTACTGTTACACATTTATGTGTAAAGCAACTGAGAATTTTACCGCATCGTGAAGAAAAAGAGAATAATATTAGTGTCAATTTTATAGTATTTAGCTTCTTGAATTTGTGGTGCGCGCAAAAATCTTATTATTGAATGTAAATTGAGCCACTGAAAAACAAGAAGCACACTCTCTGACTTAAAATTTGCTGTTACTGGCAATCAGGCTTGCTAATATTGCAAGTCGCATATGTAATAACCTTATTTCTTTAATTCATTTTTCAAATCATTGACCATTTTTGCAATTAGAGTTCTAAGAGAAAATACTGAGATTTTTTTAAGAACAGAGACGTCATATAGCATGATTGGGGAATTGGGGGAATGATACGTTTTAAAATTGGCCACCAGAAAAGAAAACCAGACAAAACTAAGCAATTTCAGTTTTTTCATTAAGAACAATATGCAAAAAATTAACACAATTTCACTGAAAATACATTGATTTCTTAATATATCTATATATCTTTTTAAAAAAATAAAGTACCTGTTTCCAATATGCTTATACTTATTCCTGCACCAAAAAAGGCAGCAGTAAGGGCCACGATACCGTGACAAAATGGCACTGCAAAAGCAGTAGCTGCACAGATAATTTCTACTATAAATATTATCAACCGGTTTAGTAAATTATTTTCAGTATTGTCAAACACCGCTCCGCCTGTAATAAAAATGCACCATTGTAGAATAATTATAAAATATACATGCCATGCTAAGAGAAAAAAGTACGGTAAGATGAAATAATTTAAAAGATTAGTATACTTAGTGCACCTTTCATTAATCATTTTTATTAAACAATGAAAATAATACTATTTTGCTATATTATATTTATGAATTATGGGTCGAATTATTTGATCATTTATGTCTGTTTGTAGCAACAATGTAATAGCCTTGAAGGTATGTTTTACAGAGTAAATATTAGACAAGCAAATTGAAGATACTCTATCTTCGCTTCGGACATTCCAGTATAAGCATCGTGGTTCTTATTTGTTCTTATGAAAATGTGATTATATTCGAAATAATTCCTCTGGGAAGTATGTTGCAAAGAGAAAGGTACATTAACTAAATGCGTGAAACTTTAAAAAAAAAATGATAAAATATCCTGCTCAAAAAAAATTTGTTGAGCGCACGGCTTTAACGAAACTAACACATACTTCTTCTGATAAATGAGGCAACATCCATAGTATTAAATACAGCAGAAGACGAAAAAAAAAAGAATTTCATATGCAAATCAACGTTAATGGCGTCTAAAACCAGAAAAAGAATATAAGTGTAGAAATCTTGATTTCGCTGAAGCTGCTGTCTTTCGTTATCTCAGAGGTCAAATTTAACCTTTCGTATTTTGTTTTGAGGATGAGTTACTTGAAAATGTCGCGAGAACGTAATTAACTAGAATCCATAGCTTGACGCATTATCGGTAGACTGATATGGATATCAGTCTACCGATAATTTGCGTTAGCCTGGAGACTAACGCAAAGAAGTGCATCGGACGCTGTTGGTGTGGCAAGAAGTGTCATAGTAAGACTCAGAAATGGATTTCGAGAAACAGGGGATGTTTGAAGTTGTCCAGGACAGGGTCGTTCACGTGCTACCGCAGCAAATAATGACCGATATATCCAGTTAACAGCTTGTCGAGATAAAACAGCTAATACTCGTTTTGGACGGCCTGTGTTTCAAGGCGTTAAAACAAATCGAATGAAATAACCTGAAAAACCTACGATGAATTTTAACCCATAACGCTACTTATACGGTAAACTATAAATACAAGGAAGTTCTTTCTTTTCCTTTTTTCTATAGCTAAATGTAAGCAAATTTTAAAAAATCACTCACATTTAAAAAAAAGAAATCTTTTTTTTGTCTGGTCAACAGTAGATTTCTGTACTATTTTATGCAATTTGTTTCAGTCTTGAAGTTAAGCCATAGAACATAAAACACTAGATAGAATATAAAACACTAACTAGGATAGAATATAAAACACTATTTTATAATCACTTCGTGCAACCTGGTGTAGGCAAAAGGTGATTTTAAAGTAACGTAATTTGCCCTAATTAACTTTGGAAAAATATTTTCACAGACAAAAGTGTATGCATATACTAATATGTCATTCACCATTACAAAAAATATATATTTCATTACAAAAAATGCAACAAAATGTTTCGTTAGTTCTTAAAAATGGCATCGGGAAATTATGCTTCCTGACGTTGTTCAAGGGAAAGTGGGGTTATACCAGGTAGCTAAGATTCAAAGGCCTGTTAGAGCTAAATTGTTTAACCTAGAAACTGTCTGAAGATATATATATTCATTATTTAGTTGTGTACAATATATCCTTCTTGAAAAGTCATTGATGTTCTACCTTTTTCAAACATGATTTTTTCTTGAAAATGCCAAATATCTGGTGGGGTAAAACCGGATACATATGTGAACTCTATTAAAAATTTCGATGCGCAAGAATTTCAGTTAAAAAATACCAGACATCTCTATTTTATATGACATTTTAAGAAAATCATGCATAAAATTTACATGGGATGTAGTCAAAGCTGTACTCAAGGAGGGTACAGAAAGGAACTGCTGATAGCTCGATTCATAATTCATTACAAAAAAAATTTGTGCTAAATAATTAGTTTTCTATTTCAAAAAAAACTGCAGAAAATTACTTTATGTCTATATAAACAATAAGATTCATTATAAAGGGTCTTCAAAAATTCAACAAAATATGAAAATATGGTTTTTGTGCTTTAAGGAAAGGGTCCGCTATAAATTTTGACCCGGGTCTTCAGTGGGCCCAGCATAGACACACATCAAGGGGATACTCAGTGTGTCCCTGAGAGCAGAGGATATCGAAATGAAACAGAACAGTGCTACTTTTGGAACAAACCCCTATTGTGTGTTAGGAACGTATAATAAGCTAGACTAAAAATAATTCTCATAACTCAAGAGACTAATAAACAAGAATTGCTTAAAAACTAGAGAGCATTAAGGAGTTGACATAGTAAAAAAACTTATCTATAGAGACACCGTGAATTAGTCAACAACAACATGCCAATATGGTAGGTCCTTGTTTTTGTCTAGTCAAATGCAATTTATAGTTAGTCGCCTGGAATTCAGAACTAGTTTCTACACAGTCAAAGTACCTGATTTTGACCCACTACCCCGTCTTAACCCCCTCTTCCGTATATTCTAATAGCCTGATATGGAAATTCTGGAATTCTCACTGTGGCATGCCTCGGTTAAAGACATTTCGTTTCAACTCAAACATTACAAATTTCTCGTTTCTTTGCGCCACCCTTTATTTTAAGAACAACTTATTCGAAATGAAAACGCATAAATATTTTGCAAAATCTTTCTTACCAACAACGTAACCAGAAATGTAACCAAGGGAACGGGCTGAAAAAATAAGCATTAGACCCTCCATTTTTACACCTGCTAAACGTTTCAGGATATAGAGAGTAGGACCAGGAATTGCTTTGAAAAAACCCTAAAAAAAGAAAAATATTGTTATAGTAAAAATATTAAACATTCAATGATTATTTAGAAAACTAAATTCATTATTGAAATTTCGAATTTTGGAACAGGTTAGGCACTGTTTTTGCTTCATCAAATACTCCTTTTTTCTTAAATTAAATCTTTGTAATTGGTTCGAAATTACACACTTACAAAACTGAATGTAAAGAGACATAAATCCAGTCGAACGCTCGAGCACCGATATTAAAATATCGATTCTATTACTATTATTTTGCTTAAAAAACTGCATTCTTTTTAAGTAAAGTACTAAAAAAATGTTATTATTTTTATCACATTAATAACTCGTTTTGGTTAGTTTAGAATGGAATCTTGGAATTGAAATTTCGATCACTTTTCGAATAGCTAGAGACCTTTGATTTAACCTGTAGATCTGTACCTGATGATTTTTTTCCATAATAGAATTTATTGCCAGTTAAATTTCAAATAGTTTCCAAGTAGCTAGAATGCTCAAATTTAAACAGAAAAACTGTTATTGGTGATAAAATAGTTTCAATTGTTTTTTAATCCCTGCAGACCGAATATATAGTCATTTTTGTTAAATTGAATAAAATGATAAAAAAAAGCTAAAAGTAAATAAAAAAAACAATGTTATTCTATTGATTATGGTGTATCCCATGTTTATTATTAGGTGTGGCAATGTTTTAGATGAGTCAAAAATAAATTTATATTTTTACCTTATTTAAATGTTTAAAATTTTTTCTATTTCATTACCTTCTTGAATTGTTCACACAAATTATTTGCTACAGCATTATTTACAACAATTTTAACAAGAATTTAATTATTTATATTTTGTTATTCTAAGATGCTAGTTTTATTTATTTATTTACGCAATACAATAAAAGAGTTTTAGAGAAGAATTGTATTGCAAAAACTTATTTTTACTTCATCATTACTTTGCAATCAATATGATTATTTGTATTTACAATTCATTTGTAAATTAAAAAAATATAAGAGAAATGAAAAATAATTGACAGACGCACTTAAAATTACTTAATTCTTAGATATCCTTAAGATATCTCAAATCCTAAAGAGATTTAATATTTCAAACTTTGTTTTTACAAGGTACCGCAGAATTTTAGTCCATTGCACCCGGAACTAAGAAAAGCATGAAATGAAAATTTTGGTTTTATACGTATTAGTGAAGCTATAAAAAAATTACCAGACAAAGATAAGAAGATGTAATCAGCACAGTCAGTAGCACTCGCCTCCCTTTCTGTTCTTCTTCAATCGATCGGCGAGAACTGATTGAACTTATAACAGATACGCCTAACAAAATAAAATGAAGTTATAGGATACATTCCTTCAAAGATGGGAAATAAAAATTATTTAAATTACACTTATTTGCTGGTGTTCTTATTTACAGTTAGCAAGAAGAAGAAAAAAACAATGATATAAATCAGGATAACTTTTGTTCAACTAATTAAAAGTTCACTTCAAAAATTGAATTTCTGTAATTGCCTGTCCTAATCTTAAGAAATACAACCACTTCCTTGACTAAACTATTTGGAATACAAAATAAAAATCCTAAAAAAAATTTTTTAAACGTGAACATTTTTTGAGTCGTATGCCTGCTTTAGGCAGTGGGGATGCGATTGTTCCTGTTTTTCAGTGGCGCCATCTATGGTTAGGAATTTGACTTCTGCCACGCCATTCACACAACCACAACCCGTTTATAGGGCGGGTCACATTCACACACGAAGGAGAAAGAAACATCCGTGCCTTGTCCAGGATTCGAAGCCAGGACCTTTCTGATGCAAGGACAGTTCCCTGCCCCCAATACAGGCCGGTCGGTAAACGTGAACATAAACTTATTAATAAAAATTTCATTTGCTTCATTTAAGTGTAAAAAAATTAAAACTTGTTTTGAACTCTCGATCACGGCTCTCATTCTCAAGAGCACCGTGATCGTTTCATTCAAACATGCGTATGAAGAAATGAAAACAGGTTGAAAAAAAGAGAACAGCTGCAGCTACTAACAGAAATAAAATAATGGAAAGAACAATAATAGAGAAAGTTTCAGTGGAGATGAAAAGAAAAATAACATGGAATACGAAAACTAAAGCGAGACAAAAAATATGAATGACGCCAAGGAGGATGCTTTTCTATGTGGAATGTCAGAGAGAGACTGATGAGGGTATTCGTATTAATGAAGAAAGACTGAAGTGTGTCTGGTTTGGGAACAATTTTGGCGCTATTTAAGTTAACTGTATTCCTAAGGTCCCAAAAGTGTGCAACAATACAGGATTTACCGAACTTTGATGATGGACATATCTGTCGCGTACTCTCTGTCTAAATTTTAGAGAGCGACTACTCTTTGCCAGTGAAACTTTGGCACCATTGGTCAAACCCGACGTGCTCAAAAATCTAAATATTAAGAAAACAAGACTGATATGTCCGTCATTAAGGGTCTGATAAATCCTTTATTGTCGCTTATTTCAGGGACACTTGGCATAGATTTAACATATTGATGTGAGCTCTTTGAAAAAAAGATGAAACTTTTTACTTTTATCGCCAAATGTAAAGATTTCTGCCAAAAGTAACGTAGTTATCATCCATTTTAAGTGGCATTAAAAAATAGCAACACACCGCTGTCGCAATCACATCTTGATATTGGACTAAGCTTGATAAAAAAAAATATATGGCACACTGATCCGAATTTAATATAGCAATTTTGTAAAATATTCACATTTTAAAAATATGGCGTTCGGTTGGGGAAAATATTTTGAAAATTGGGTAAAATGTTCACGCTGTAATTTTGTTAAGTTTATATTAATAGTCAGTGAAATGTATTTATTTATGCGTAATAAACGTTAATATTAAAAAAATAAATATAATTCTTTTGACAACAAAAAATATAATTTGTATTATTTTGAAAATATTCTGCTGAAAAATATTAAACTAACTGAAGCTTACAGTAATTTGTTTCATATGAATTCAGTTAGTTCAGTTAGTTTCATATTTCACAAAGGTGAAATATTTTATACAGTTCTACAGCATGTCTTCCGTAAAATATTTCAATATACATTGAAAAATCATATAAAACCAATAAATAAAAATAGGTAATAATGAGAAAAAATATATTTATTGTCATAAGAATTTCATTTCTCCACCAAATGAAAAATAAGTACTTTGGAAAAGCCCAAATATCAAACAAATTGATTTTGCAAAAAGCATTTTACGTTATTCAATAAAAGTGAAATAAATTTAAACCTACTTTCTCTGTCCAGGGGGACAGATTTTTCTTTTTTCATTTCGATAACTCTAGTAAAAAGTCTGTTTTTACATAATATTCTTCAGTAAATGTTTTCCTCAACAGTCAAGAGATTCAAATTTTTTTTAAAAGTTTACAAACAGTCGAATATTAATATAAATTGTAATCAAAAAGTTACAGTTAATGATACTTCAGGAACTTTAGTTTTTATGTTTCCGAATGAACTGAAAATCTAAAAAAGAGCTTGCAAAGTAATATAATAAAACAAATTTTTTAAATTATTAAAACTAATTTAAAGACGAAGAGTTCCTAAATATATAGATGAAATAAAAAATAAATAGTGTTGCTTAAGCCAACCAAACTAGGTCTTATTTGGTGAAAAATTTTCTTGTTAATTTTTTTTCTTCCTTCTGCTAACCGAAAAGTGAACTTTTCGGTTAGCAGAGCGCAAATCTCTTTATTTTTCTCTTTTGGAGACGTTTTAGGACTGAGTTTTCGCCAGTCAAATGTCCTAAACAAAATGCGTGTCTTGCAAAGCAAAGCCTAAAATTTTCTAATTTTAATGAGTGAGCCTTGATGGCTATGGGGATAGAGCATTCAATTTCCAATGAGGTGACCGGGGTTCGAATACCAGCAATGGCTGGTCTATACGAATTTCGCTTTCGGCTTGCCCCGACCATAGTGCTGACGTAAAATATCCTCAAGTGTAGACGGATCATGAGCCAGGCTAACCGTGGGAAGTTTTCAGAGGTTTCAGAGGTTCCATCAAAAAGTCCTTAACGAAGGCAACTTTACCTCAATACTTGATCCAAGAGTTCTCTTGTCTTCTGGATTGGGTTCAAAATTACAAAGCTATGGAGTTGAACATTAGTAATCGTAAACCCGAAAAATTGGTACGGCTGTTCAACAATGGTTTTAATTATTTTTAATGGGTCATAGTCGTTGAGTTTCTTTTTATTTTATTTTGACGGAAGGTCTAAATTATTTAGCAAATTTTCGCTTGCACCCGGGTAACCAAAAAGTACCTCTAACAATATATATTAGAAAGTGTTTTGTGTTAAAAAAGGCAAAAGGAGTACTAATCAAACTTTTGAAACTGGGTATTAAGAAATAATAAGTTAGTTGATTTAACACAATTCTTAGTTATAAAAAATATCTTATTCCTTCGTAAGATATTGTATGCTAATGCGTATCACATTTTCTGTAAAATAATTTACTTATTATATGTCAGTTAGTAGAGTTAGTTTTGAGAGGCAAAGAGTAGAGTTTTGTGGTTGCCATGGTGATAGTTTGGCATATAAATAGTTTTTCGAATGAGTGTAACATCTTTCGTTTGGAATGGCAATGCTGTGATTTTGTTGTTGAGTTAATAAATCTTCCAAATTTATTAAACGTAATAATATTAGAGTTTTCTTAATTATTTGATTCGAAGTCCTTTGAGATTTATTTGAGGTCATTTTTAATTTTCTATATTTAGTATTTGACTATTTATACTACAGAGTGTTTTATTGTGTTGATTGTCGAAAAAGGCAAAAGGAGAGTCAATCAAACTTTTGAAGCTGTTGGTATTAACCAATGTTAAGTTTGTTGATTAACACAATTCTTAGGGATAAGAAATATTAGATTCTATGTGTTAATAGTGAATTAAGAAAACTGTCCTTGGGTGTAGTGCTTACTAGGTTTTCGGCAAATTAGATCATTCAATAGTATTAAAAATATATTAATGCCAAAAATAAACAAATTAAATCTTTATAATCCGCACTAATTTTTTGTTAATTTTGCAAGCATTCAGCAACAGATTTTTTTAAAACAAAAATTGCTATTATGATAAAATATAGCGCGCTAAAAAAGAAAAAAAAATTATCGGCAATTTTTTTTTTTGAAAAATCATACGGCTTTATTGATTTAATCTTAATATTAAGTAAATTTTTTATTGGTTCAAAGATTTGTTTTAAACTGAAGAGTACATTATTGAAATTAAGTGAGTATTTTCTTATACTAGCTACCACTTTAGTTTTAAAAAATCGCACTTCCGTGATTACAGAACCAAATTAAAGGCTCTATATTCCTAAGGAATCACATTGGATAAGCTCGTTTTTCAACAGCCTTTAAATAAAGATAATTAGAATAAAACAATTGTGTTACCAGTTTTTATTAATAAATTTATTTATTTATTTATTATTTTTTTTTAAGAACAGTCCTCTACAATGACCTTGCAGTAGCAATCAGTTTAACTCAAGCACTAAATTTTTACAAATATGCTTTTATTAATTCCTTTAAAGTTTACTTTTTTATTTTAAAATAACAATGATTAGTTTAAAAATTATTCAAAAAAATACTTAATAAAATGCAAGCTAAAAGATGTATGCAAATACCTGTGAATACATTTGTTAAAACAATTGTTAAACATTTGTTTTTTTTCTGGAAAAATATTAATTCTTTCCTAATAAAACCATGATAAAATAAAAAAATGTGGGTAAAAAATTCTGAAAATTTTCTGTGGTTAATTTTTGTTTAACAAAAGTAAACTATGCTGCGAAATATTCAACTGCATGACGCAGTATATTATCAGTGAAGGAAAAGAAAAACTCTATAAATTGTTTCCAAAATCGATCTAGCAAGTGTGATTGTTCTCGAAACTTTCTCAGTTCCACAATCGAATCTCTGCACAATTCACCAAACGACAAAGAAAACAGCCATTAAAATAAATAACAAAATGTGAAAACCATGAAAGATTTTTTTTATTTTATTTAACTTTGTATATTATTCTTTTGAGAGAATGTAAAACAGGAGTGGCTTCTATTGCAGTACAATCACGTTTTCTGGATAATGGGAAAATATTGAGAAGGCTACACCCCCACAAAAGGTCAGGAACTGAAGGTCATGCCTCTAAATTTGGATCAGGTTAATGCAAGAAATAGGAGTTCTAAATTATTTTTGGCCAGATTCCAGATTTATTGTTTTTTTTTTTTATAAGCTTTCTCTAGATTATGACATTTTTTTTACTATGTCTGATGGAGAAAATAATTTAATTTAGCAATCATTCTTTTTTCAGGAATTTACTCTGTTGAGTTATTCTTATAAAATAATTAAGGGTGTATAGTAATAATTTTGCATCATTTTTACTTCAAATTAATATTCAGATTTTAATAATTTTATAAAAGAATTTAATTTATTTTACCTGCAATTTTTTAAAAATTTTTATGCTACTTGATTAACATTGCTACTAGTTTCTTTCGGCGTTTTCTCATAACTGCAAACTTCAACGCAATATTAGCATTTTTTTTAAACTATTGACCCAGAAACCTGACATTTAGCTTATATGTTCTTTAAATTATTTATAATATTTTAATAATTCTCTTATTTCTCTAATATAAAAATCTCTCAAAATATTTATTTAACATAAATTTCATAGTGATTGTATTGCTGAAACTTTAATTTTTTTTTCGCGATGGCAGTTTGGCCTCGAGTTTTTTCATGGAATTATGGCTACACTTTAGAAGGGACAGGTTATAAATTAGCTTCACAAAATTTAGTCACAAAAATCTAGAGCTTAAGGACATGAATAGTCTCCTCGATGACCCAGTGGTTAATGGCACCGAGCTATTTTAGAGGAGGACTGGGGTTCGATTCTCAATGGTGGACCACACAGTTTCAAACCAATTGGTACCAGCTGGCTTGGTCGATGTTAACAGTTAACCAAACTACCACAGTCATTCCGTTGAGCATGAAATTGGAAAATCTTAAAATCCAGGACTCCTTGGTCCACAACAAGCTGTTCCAAAAAGCTTTATTTTTTTTCTGATTGGAAAGATTTTCGGAGTTCTGAATTAATCTTTTTGCTGTACCAAACAATTTTTTTCCAAAATTATCGTATCAAATTTTCTAAAAAACTATTTTTAAGCTAATCGAAAATGTGTAATAATAGATAAAAATAATATTAAACAAATTTTTAGATATTTTTTTATAGATGTTATTTAACATTACAGGTTTTTTATTCAACTGTATGAAGTGATATTTTTAAATATTTTTCAATAGCTATTCTAAAACTCTATATTTGTAAATATCATAATTTGTTTTACGGCGAAATAGATTGATAATGGAATCTTGTTTTATTCATATGAATGCTAATTCTCTAATTAACGATATAACTTTAACGTCTCTTCATAGCACGTGGAAAAGAATTTTATTCTGATTTACCCCTCTCGGCCACTGTGGTTTTCTCGTCCTGATTTTCATCTTTTTTTCTCTCTCGGCTACTGTGGTTTTTACAGTTTTGCTTCTCACCTTTAATTTCTTCCTTTTTCATTGGCAACTTTGCGTTTTATGTTTCAAATCACTTTTGTTACTTTTCATTCACGTCAGGCAAATCTTGAAAATGGGTGTCTATTTTTGAGCGAATGAAACATGTTGACTGTTGTTTCCAATTTGTATATTTCTGAAAGGAATGAAGTTTTTAATCAAGTTATAGAGTGATAACTGTTGTTGCTGGTAAACAGATACTTTTCAGTTTCGAATTTTAAGCGTTTAAAAAAATTCGTTATACTAATAGGTTATATTAGTCCTTAGTACTAGTAAGCTATAAAAATTAGACTCATTCCTGAAATCTTTTCAGCGGAAATTACACCTGTTAGTGTTTTTTTCGATATCAATTGCTAAATTAAAATGATTCGATTTACAAAATTATTGAAATAATGTTCGATGTCAGTAACCTGCAAACTTCAAATATTTTTTTATTGTGTTTACTCAATATTTTTGCCTGTTCTTAGTGTCGAAACGCTATCTCGTATCTTTAATTATTCCAGGATCGCTTGTGCTAGGATTCTAACATTTTGACATCGACCAAGTAGCATTTTTAGACTCCTAAATTAATTGTTTAAAAATTTTAGCTTGTCCGCTATGGAGAGGTGTTTGAAAAATGAGCTTTTAACAATTCTTTAACATTAGCTACTATTACAAATAAAACTGTAGACTGTTCTGTTTAAGATTTTTTTACACATTCTTTAATGGTAAATATTTTTTATCAACTTGAATGGCATGTGGATTGGTGTCTCGTCACTGAATTAGTATTTATAAAGTTATCTGTCACCACGTGTTTATTTTGTTTAGAGTTGAGTTTT